TTTATATGCACCTTAGATTAACCACAATGGGATGTAATAGCCCCCACTCCTCAAATTCCTCCCTCTAGCCAGAGGGAGTTCAGAGGAGGCAGGAGCCAAACCTCTCCCAGGCACCTATGCTGCCTTGGGACCCAGCTCCTTGCTCCGTGATGCTGACCTACCTAATGGAAGGATTTGGGGTTGAAATCTCCACTACACAGAGTGGACGAGCGAACAGGAGCTCTGTGAGCTGCCCATCTACTGTGGGGTGGCTCCAACAGTGTGGCACTGAAACAAACCCATAAAAGCACCTATGCCTGGCCTGGTGAATCCTATAGGAGTGACAAAGAGTGAGGTAACCTGTTATATTCTAAGCATATAATTCAGAGGTGGCATACAGGTAAAAATTAAACAGGACCAAGTACTGAAAAACTAGTGAGTTTCCTGAATGACAGGACCAGAGCAATAATTGGTCACACCATTTCTTACATCAGATGATAACATTGAAAGGAATCTAAATCAACAGTAGATGTCAAAGGGCAGAATATTCCCTGTTCACTAGGATAGTCCTTCCTCTCTCAAGTGCCACAGACTGATTTCCCCTGATGAGCTGCAGCTATGACAAACTGAAGGGTCCTTTGAATGCCCCATGGCACTGAGGGTTCTGGCTAAGCCTGTGCAGGAACACATGCAGGATAGGAGAACAGGCTAAGAATTCGCTTTATACAACATAGAAAGGAAGAATAAACTGTAGTTATCAACTCTGTGAATACTTTTTAGGCCACTCACATATTTACACTTCCCTCATCAATTTTTCTCCTCTCCTGGAAAAGGAGCACAGAACCTATGGATGTTACATTTTACTGAAACTGTACATTCAGCAGAATGCTGCTGCTTCTCTGTTCTGGTACTCTGACCTGTAGCATTAGTGTGGCTGCTGAAGCTACTCATGTTAAATCCTGTTTCTGCTATCCAGTGCATTAGGCTTAGCACTATAACATTGGTATTTTAGACAGAAGTATGAAGTCTTATTTTGATATTCATTTTCAGAAATACATTAGTAATAGGGATGGGGTTTATTCAGATGGGCTGGCATGTCAAGAAGCCATACATTTTTTTGATTACTGTTCTTTTCTGGCAATATTTCCACATAAGCTGCACAGCTGAAATTCTCTGCCAGAACCAGACTGGTTTTACAAGGGGTGGGGTCCCCCCACAGTGGGAATATGAGGAGGTATTTGAGATGAACACGATGATATCCACACTTTACAGTGATGTCTGCAGTTTTAAAGCCAGATATTAATCACTATATAAAGCTAAGAAAATAAGCCAGGATATAGTTGAAAAAGCTTAGAGAATAAAGAAGACAGAAGAATGTAATAATTATAATAGGGACATGCCTGAGACACTGAAAGTAATACAGATAGTCTTTATAAGAAGTGTTTTCTAAAATCTTAAAGCACTAGCCATGTGCTGGTCTTGGTTACACATGTCAGGACAGGGACAGTGTCAATATAGACTTTAGTATCAGGCTCACATCTCTGTATTCTCCCAATTCCTCATGCTATTTTCCTACTTCAGTAAAGTCCTATGAGGTGCTAAAATATGCATGAGCCAGTCCATGCCTCAGTGCAGAATGGAATCCAACCACTCTAACCCTTAACACAGAAATATCCATGCTTTTAGGAGATGAGAAAATATGATGAAGATCAAACATGATTTACTGAATTAAATTGAAGATTATAATCTTAATTTAGGCCAAACCCCTAGATAAGTCAGACTGTATTTTCAACAAAACCTCATCCAAGTAACCTAAAAAACCTGCAACAAAACAAACATCATTTAAATGCTAAGGAGTTCCCCATTACATGTTGCCATAGATATTTACCTGTTTGGGGTTTTGTAAATCACTTTGTGATAATGCTCCAAGTTACTTGAGATCAAAGGATGAGGTAGTCAAAAAAAAGCTGTGCCCTGTGATACACTCAAGCCAGGCAAAGGTTTCTGAGTGGGAGAGAACTCGAACCAGAGGCTACTTGCATAGCTCACGTAGTTGCCATGTACCAGACATCATATTTCAGGCAGCAGCACAGGACACTCGAGTTTCAGACACAGCTGAGGCAGCACTGGGGCAGGTTCTCCACAGTGCACACACAGCCTGCTCTGCCTCTGCATCCTGCTGTGCTTGGGGAGATCTCTGTACTGCACGGCCACCACAGACTGCTTTTATCTAATAAAATTAGACACATTTTCACCACTATAAAGGCTTTCTGTGATTTTCACTGCTGCTTTACACAGGAGAGCAGTTTGGGTTGTTTTGCCCTGGTTCGGTCTGTTTGTTTTTTCTTCTAAGTATTTCAAATCACATCTAATGTTTTTGGATCAGAAGCCCAGTGACAACAACTTTGGCTTTTTTCCTTCCATAAATAAGACTTTAGAAACCCCAGTACATTAGTGTGTTTTCTAGTGCCCTGTACTTTTAAAATCTCCTGGGAGAGCTTGAGTAACACAAACACATTTTCCAGTGACACCAGCTGCAACTGGGCGAGCTGCCCTTGGGAGCTGTGAGCACTGCCATTGTGCACAGCTGTCAGCACACAGCACCATGTCACCCTGGGCTGTGGGACTCTGCTTATGTCACAGGAGGTGATGACAGGCACTCTCAGGCTGATTAGCATCTCATGGGTCCTTCTTACAGTCCCTTCTCATGTTTCGACACAACTAAACCTGTTTTGATCTTTTGATGGCTTATTTAAGGTTTGGTTTTGGAGCTGGAAATGCTGGTTAAGGAGCAGCCAGACTGAAAGCTGCTTTGGTCCCAAATCTATCCACTTTGGGGCTGCAAGCTGTAAACTCTAAGAGCTGGATCCCATTTTCCAACAATTATTGGAGAAGGTACCATTGGTCAGAATTCTGGATATGGAAAACCAGCTTGGTTTAGTGATCAAAGCTAAGAACAATGCTCAGTTCCTCAGCATGTTTCATGTCCCTGGAGATACCAACCATTACACTGAGCAAGAGAAAATTTCCCATGTTAAAAACTGAGAGAAATGATGCTGCAGCACTGTGGTTGAGATGAATGCTGTCTCTGCATTGCTCCTTCAATTCAAGATACCAGTAGAATATAAATTGCAGATGAGGCTTTAAAGATTCATCAAAAACACTGAAAAACCACATTTTAAAACCTATAGTTTAAACAATGGAGACCTACCTAATTTCCTTCTTAAACTACTGGACATGTTTCATTCCGTGTAGAGAAAGGGTCTAATTCTTGGTGTTGTCTCATGTAAGTTCAGACTTTGGAGCTGTCTTTGAAGAGACTTATCATATATTTCTTTCAGCTGTTGTTTGCAATTACTTTTTAATGTTTGTTTTCCACTACTGACTTTCCATTTCTGATCACTTTCAGATGTTTAAAGGATTTGAAAAGCTCAAGGATGTCCAGTATGTCTATACACCTTTTGATTCATCACTATGTGGAGTGAAACTAGAAGCCAACAACAAAAAACAGTATCTTTTGACAGGTAAGATGAAACAAAACTAATGTACCTGTAAACCCAGAAGTAACTGCTTAGGTTGAATTAGCTAAAAAATTCCAGCCCTGGTTAAAAAGGAATGTATGTGCTAAACACAAACACAATGAGATGTACAAATTTTGTTAAGCTGTAGTGTAATCTTACATGTTTACATTCTTCATCCAACAATCTTAAAGCCATCCCAAAGAAGTGAAGGTCAGCAATGATGTAATTAATAAACAGAAAAAACTGTGCCATTATTATTTGATTAAAACCAACAGTACTGAGTTTCCCTAGAATGCAAACATGCAGAATGAGACAGCACATGCCTACATGTATGCACATCTGAGGTTCCAAGCAACTACAGATTTTTCTATAGAGTCCTAAAATCTTATTTAAAATACTACTGCATTTGCATCCATCCCTTGCTGGCAGATTATCAGCATCTTTTGAAAAATATCGTATTTAAATCTTTTACATTTATTCAGATTGCAATCAGAAGAATATTCTCTCAGTTATAATTAGATTCATTTTTTTAAAAAAGTGTTAAGAATGACTAATTTGCTGCAATTAGTTAAAAGCTTGAGGTATTCTTACTCTTCTGGTTTAGTATTTAGAAAGCAGTTTTAATTGCTTGCCTTATTCTTCATATTTTCCATGCTGTAGGCCAAATTTTAAGTGATGGTAAAGTCCTCATCCATTTGTGCAACTACATTGAACCCTGGGATGATTTATCCTTGTCTCAAAAGAAGAGTCTGAATCAGAGATATCAGATGGGCTGTGGCTGCAAGGTAAGTACAGAGTCTGCCTTCATGGAGCCACCTGACAGGCACCACTCCTGTGCTCTCTTACACACCATATGTTTTGTATCTTGGAGAATAAATAGCACTTTAAAGATATTACACCTGCAATGTACTGAATCCATGCACTATTTCCCACTTAGATCACTACCTGCTACATGGTGCCCTGCTCAATCACTGCGCCCAACGAGTGCCTCTGGACAGACTGGCTGATAGAGAGGAAGCTCTATGGGCACCAAGCCAAGCACTATGCCTGTATCAAGAGAAGTGATGGCACCTGCAGCTGGTACCGAGGTGGGCCTCCCCCAGAGAAAGAGTTTATTGATATCAGCGAACCTTAAAACCATCACTTCCTAAAAACCTTGGAGTCTAATTCCATCAAACACTGCACGCTCACAGCTTTGAACTGCCATCGTCTAATGTATCTGTTGCTTAGAAACAAACACAAATTGTCCTGTACAGCTAAAGTACGAGTCTGTGGGATTGGCACTCGCACAGGACGAGGAACAAACCTCCTGGAGGTAGCTACTCTGTACTGTTATGCTTTGCACAGAGGCTGAAGCTGAGAATGCTCCTCTGTGTCCTCCAAGGCATAACAAGTTCCCTTTTGCCAATATGAATGTACAAGAACAAAAGAATTGCCAGAATTTTGTCCCCTCTTTGATAACCTGCAGATTAAGAGTGCCCTGTTTTATTCCAAACCTTTCCAATGAACTACGGAATGTTTTATAGAACTATTTTTTTCTGTATGAAAGTCTTCGATACAAAAGAATTATTGTACAGTGTATATGTAAAGTATTATAACAATGTGCTATTAAAAAAAGATTCACAAGTATTTCCTTATCTCCTGAAACAAGTTGAACACTTCTGGGATTAAAACAATCTGTGCTCCATATTTTGTATGTTCCTTATGTCATAGCTTTCTTTATCTACAGAGTTCTAACTTTCATTGATAACTAAGTTAAGAAACAGCCTTGTTAATCAAAATCCTTTTCCCAATTCAGCCATCCTATGGACTAGCCATAGCCTGCTGACAGAAAAGCCAGATGTTCTAATTCTTCAGCATTTCATGGAACCAACACAGATGATGACAGGCTAAAACTGCTCATATTTACAGGACCAGTGCTCATCCTCACAGCAGCTGCAGCACTTGGTAACACCTCTCTAAATACCTGACTAGGTCGTTGTGTTCCAGCACTGTTAAAGCCTTGGCTATAGAAACTCATGTGAACATATATGCCATAGACATTGAATAACTTACACTGCAAGTAATTTCTAAAAGCTCTCAAATACTTAACCATATTTAATAGGATTTAATGATTCTTCATTCATGAATACCCATTGTAGTCTCTCATGGCAAATTTGGCTGCTCATGAACTTGTACTAGAGAAGTTTTACAATGCCTTTTGCCCTTTAGGTTTTTAGTGTCTTCACTTTTCTGAATCGATTATTGTAGCTAGTAACTAATCTCACACATATTTAAGTTTACAAAAGTAATTCAATTCACAGTGGTGAAACTTCAGAAACTGTTTCAGTAAATGCCAAAGTTCAGACAGTTGTCCAACCACATGTGTCCTAGGAATTGGCTGAGAGCCATCACGTGGGATGTGAATCTCCAATACCTGCCACTTCTGACATATTTTACTCTCCAACTTTCTCCATTGGATTTCTTTCACTTCATTCCAGCTTTGGCTAGAGTTACTCTTGCATGTTCCTCATATGAGAATTTAGAGCCCAGGCAGAGATTTAGACAGCTGTGCTCTGGTTTGGTCAGATCAGGTCTACTCAAAGGTTTAACACAAACACTTTACTCCTTCCTGCGAACCCCAGGATGACATTTCCAGCCTGGAGGCTCAGTCAGAGTCAGCATGTTACTGTCTATTGGCTCAAGGGTTTTCCAAACAGTTTCTTCAGTCTGTTTGCTATAGAGTCCTTACAAAACCACTGGAACTTGACCTTGCAGATAATATATGGCACATCTTTAAGTGCACAGACATCTCTGATTCCTTTCACTTCAATGAGGCAGTAGTTTGGACACGAAATTCAGCATGTGTCATGTACCTCATGACACACTAAGATATGATACATTGGATAGATAATGCAAACTTGAAAGAAACTCCACTGCATAAATTACTCTGTACATATTTGCACATTTCTAATGTTTATTTTGACAATTGCATGAATCCATATTTAAAGGACAGGTTTGAAAACACTCTTCTGAGAGTAAATACTCTTATTTACCTGTTCTGTGACTAAAGTGATACAATTCCAAGGAAATGCAAATGGTGCAAGGCCAACAGGCATTGAGCCTTTGAGGAATATATATCCCATAATATATAAAAGTCAACATTTCACTTTTTTGGCACTGTAAATCAGTTTTGCTCTTTTAATTTACAATCCTAAATCAAAACACCATCTCTTTGTGCTGCCGAATGCAAAGCCTGGCTTGTTTTCTGCTTTACTAAAGACAAACCAGAAATTCCCTAACACTGTCGATTTGGACCAGAGACTTCCTATGGCAACTTACAGAAATGAAATGAAAAGGCTGTATTTCTTCCCCAAAACAACTGATGCTGCAGTGACAATATTGACAGTGCTGTTTACTGACAGTGCTGTGCATTTATATTACTAATTTACAGAAAGACTTAAGCCAGGGCTGATTTCCTCACGTCAAACCAAAACAATTCCTAGAGTAGACTGTGAGAGCTGAATAGCCACACAGAGTCTGAATCAAGCAAGTAGCTGATTAATATTCAGCACATGTCCAGTGTAGCATTTGTTTCCAAATCCATTTTGATGTGCTGGTGTCTTTTGAACAGCACTCTGCAGCAAACAGATATTTTCTGCTTTTTAACCCACTCTAGTTCTGTTTCTATTTCAGATTTGTAGTAACTAGACCTTAAACTCAACTCGCCCAACACAGATTACCTTCTCTGTGTACCTTGTACCAATAAATGTTTCCTTTGGTATTTATGAACAGACTGTAACGCAAATTTTATGCCGTAATTAGTTTCAGAAACATTTTGTATTTGTCCTGCCATAAAATATCCCACACGAAGGGTTTCAAAATGAATGGCTGTCTACTTTGATTTCTGGCTGAGCATCAATCTGGCCAAACTTCCCACCATGGATGGTACCAAGAGTATTTTCCTCATATCAATAAATATGGCAAGAAAAAGAGTTTTTATTTTCCCTGAGATTCAGCACTGAGGAAGATTATGAAAAGGCTTAACTACAATGTGGCATTCTGAGTATGTTATTTTCCTACCAAGATTTTTACTGTAGTAGCATTGATATATTATCAACGGCAGATTATTTTTACAACACTTTATTTTTACTTCTTGAAACTGTGTATGTGTTATATGAAAGGTTAGAGCAGAAATATAGCCTGGCACAACACTTGATTTTAATTTGAAAATGACTCACACAACTTATGATATGAGTAGGGAAAAAGATGAGAGAAGGGAGACTGTACAGGTGAAGGGGGAAAAAAACACCACCTTGAATACTGCTGGCGTTTTCTCAGTGTTCCAGTTAAGGTTCAATTAAATTGTTCAACAATGATGTTGAAAAAGCCGTGTTGTTTTTTCCATGACAGAGAACATAAGAGGTGGTAATGTAGTGAAATAAAGGGAACTAATTACTGAGGGAAAGGCTGTAGATATGACTCAACTAGCAATGAGTTCAAAAGCCTTACAGCATTTTGTATAATCAGTCTGGGATGGATGTTTCTGTTTCAAAAAGTGTTTCATTAAAGCAGCTCCATTTTTACACAAAAGAATGGCATCTTTGTTTATTTACCTTTTATTGCCTGCTAAAGACACAGCACAAACGGTCACCAGAGTATGAAAGAGGCAAAGGAAAGCACAGCCCAGGCAGAACCTCTGGCAGGCTCAGCTGCACCCAGACTTGGTGCTCTCCCCTGCTACCCCACTGCACTGCACTGCAGGGGAGGGAGAGCCCTAGGTTACCCTTTGGAGAGTAAGATGGGAAGGACCAAACGTAAGAGGAACTACAAAAATATTGAAAACTGTAAATGCCAAGTTCTGTCTAAGCAAATGAGGCCAGCTGTTAATAAAGGGTTTATAACAAACCAACAAGAAAATAAATAGCATGATATCATTCAGGTCAGCATCAGAAGACTGATATCCAGATCATCTTACAACTCATTCTAGAAATGTGAACAAAATGTTAGCTTGTACCATGTTGCCTTATTGTTTTCCAAGCCACAAAGTTCCAGATACTTTCTTCAGAAGGAAAAAAATCCAAACAAATGAGCTCCATCACAGTTACTGCAGCACCTCTAACCCACATATGGCAATCAATACACAAACGTTCATTTTCTATAGATCATCATTCATTATGCAGATATATGTAAAAAAAATTACTCAGCTGTGGAGAACAACATTCAAAAGTTCAAACAGAAAACAGATAACTTATCAGTTCAGACTTTAATGAGCAATTTTAGAGGAACAAAGGGAGGGAAAAACACTCACATAGTTGTTAGACTCAGCAAAATATGCCTGCTAAACTTATAGAGCTAACACATTCATTCTTGTCCCCAAATGAAAGGATATGTTCTTTGTTTCCATGCACAACAATTCAGCAATGCATTCAAAAGACCTGATTTTTCAATAAAATCATAGACTATCTCCAGTTGGAAGGAACCAACAAAAGTCAGTGAGTCCCACTCCCTGCTCCTCACAGGTCTGCCTAAAACTAACCCATATGCCTAAGAGCACAACCCAGATGCTCCTTGAGCTCTGACAGGCTTGGTGCCACAGCCACTTCCCTGAGGAGCCTGAATCACAGCTGATAAAATAATGCAGAAAAAAATTGCACACAGAAAATTATAAACCAGCTTTCATCTTGGATATAATTAGGAAAATAGATATAAAACTTATCACTATTTTAAAAAGCATCTTGCAAAATGAGATGTGGTTCTGCTTCTCCACCTGTTATGAAGGAATCCCTAAGGCAAAAAACACCTCCTGTAACCGGAGGAGATGTTAAAAAAATAAATTAAATTAGAAAAAATAAATTTCATAAAGTTGTATATTTTCCTGACAGATCCATCAACAAAACCTCCTTTCATTCTGGAAAGGCCTGACTAGGGCAACATTTAGACCTGCTGCACCAGATCAGTACCTTTGGCTCTACAAAACCTCTGTGTAGCAAATGCACTAAGCACCTCACTGTGGTGAAAGCTCTTCTCAGAAGTGTCACATGTGACAAGAGAAGTGGAACCACCTGTGAGTTCATAGGCCAAAGGAGCCAGAGAGAACTGGGAAAGCAGAATGAAGAGCCATTCTGCCACCTGCAAAGAACCCAGCAGAACTGCACTGTACTGTGTCTTTTGCCAAGAAATGAGACAGACATTGGAGAAGGAAGAGTTCAGAAGGAATCTTAGTCACCTGCTGTTCCCAAGGTTTACTTTAGGTGTCACCTATGGTAACAAAGTGCTAGCCAGAGTCTCAGGACAGACACACAGAAATGGCAGCTTGGGGACCTTGCACAAACAGTTAACTCACTTATTTATCATGACCTTGCAGTGGTACTTGAATCCCAGCTGTGGGACATGCTGAATGGATTAGATTCTAAAATAATTGATGCTTCTCTGCTAGGCTATTCAATCAGCAAACAGCCTCCCTCCAGACTCTCTCAGTGCTGAAAGTGTTTCCTCTAGAGAAATATACTTGGGAAAGAATTTCAGATTAGAAACCATAAGAAAAGTAAGAAAAAATATCTGCAGCATAACACAGGTCATGGGTTGTATGTGTTATTTTTGTGAGCGCAGCTATGTCTGCAAGGGACTGGGAATCAATGCGAGCTCAGGTCCATGAAGATCACAAGTCACAACCACCCTGACCAGCACACAGCCTTGTGCATCATCTCCAAAGTTAATGAACACTTTGAACATGTCATAAAGGACTAGAGTGAAAATAAACCATAAAAGTAACTCTTGTTCTTTAATAGTTGTTCCATGTCTTTCTGAGCTTTAATCTCTTTAAGATCTGAAGCTGGTTAGCTGAAAAATGACTACCTTCCCATCTGAGAGTCCTCCAGCTCACCATCACCAATGCTTTCAAGTGGTCACCCAGTCTCACCCCCCTGAAAGCTTCCAAAATGGCTTTTCAAATAGACAGCAAATGGCAAAAAGGAGTTGTGTGTTACAGTTCCTGGTTTACACAGACAGTAAGCAAATCTAGTATTGCTGTTTGCACGTACCATTTCCTTGTGATTTGGATAGAACGTTTGCTCAATTAAAGGGAACTTCTCTGGACCCAAAGTTTTGTAGACAGACACCAGCTGGGCAAACTGTAAAACAGAGCAAAACAAAACAGAAAGCTTAGGAGAGAAACCACATTCTACCCAAATGATCTCATACTGTCATTTTGCTTCTTGTCTTTGGTATTTCATAAACTCTGCCAATCCACATGCACATTACACATGGCCTCTCTCCTCCTCTCTCCCACACAGGCCTTCTTAGTCCATCCAAGATGTGACTTCATGTATAGACAACACAGAACACCTCTAAGAGTTAAGCCCACACAGGTACAGAAAACGAAATACATTGGAATACTGGATTTCAGATACCTCACTGTCTTTATATTGTAAGCTGATTTTGTGATAATAAAATCACTGTAACTTTGCCGTTTCTACCATCTTTAATCTAAAGATCAGACCTATTTCATGTTAATTTAGAGTCTGGCACCTCCTTGACACTGAAACACAATTTTGCAGAGCTGGCAAAGAGAGAAAAGCAATAACTATGTCATATTAAGAGGTCAGGTGAAGAAAAAACAGGAGAAGTTTAATTTCCTAGGCTATAGATGTGTGCCACAGCCACACAACCATCCTTCCACCATCAACAAAGATGTGGATGATTTAAACAGCTCCATATTACAGCATTTCTATGAATGTTTTCTTTCTGGGTCCTTTGTCCCACACCTCCAGCCTACCTGCACACTGGGCTGCAGTAACACAACACACAAAGCAAACCAACATTTACACAGGAAAAGACAAAGAATTCTTTATTAAATAGAAATGTATTTTGGGGCTGTTCTTTCTCTTCAGTGAGCAGACCAGCTCTTCTCATGCAACAGTTCAAAAACTAAATCACTCCTGAGAGCAGGGCTGAGCACTGAGGTTTCCAGGGAGCAGGAGGGCTTTGGCAGCCAGAAGCCACTGTTGTTCCAGGACTCCAAAGCTCTGGCTTGGACATGCCTGTGATGTGTTCAATTGTCATTATGCCAACATGAGACATAAACAACTCAGCACAACAGTTTGAATAGTGGGATTTGCTGGTTGCAGACAGCACAAAAAGCAAAGAACAATAGAACTCTGTCCATAATGCAGATAAAATACCTACTCTGAGAATGAGACTTGGGGGCAGGGAGAGCAAAATCTGCTTAAAGGGGAAATAATGATAAAAGCTTTACATGCATTTCCAGCTGGCAGAGAGAATTTGTTTAATTTAGTGGTGTTTACTTAGGTTTGGTAAAATACATCTTTAAATCTGGAAGTCCAGTGGAAAATACCTTAATGATGAGTAGTTTGCACCAGAAGCCTATGTAACTCTAGCTGGGTAGTGTGCTATGCAAATCAGACCTCCAGGAAAGGCAATATTATCACAGCTACCAAAATAAGGTGGTTTGTGAATAGCATTTCTGAGAACTTACTAGCTAAATAGTATTAAATAGCAAATACTTACTATTAAATGCATGATTTTTGCCAAGCAATTGTTAGGTTAAAATATATCTATTTACCCATCTTTAAGTAAAAACCTTCAAAAATTCATATGATGGCATTTCCTGTGATTCTTTCCTTATTTTCTTTTCCATTTTCACTGAAAGCAAGTAAAAGGCAGTGAGAAACTGAGGCTATTTTTAGGGGTTGCAGCATTCATGCCAGAGGTAAGAAAGCTGTAATTCAGCTAATAATGGAAAATTCTTGTTTACTTAAAATAAAATAGTATTAACCACAGAAAACACCTACATATAATTCTGAAGTATTCTCTAAGCCAGTAATTAAGCTATGAAATGCCAAGTAGGAAAAGTAGGTTTCAATTTCCTGAGGCAGAGGAGAGAAATATCTCAGATTGCCCACAGCCAGTGGGAATGATTTGTCCTCTGCCCCTGCTGGGATGCTGCTTCACCTCCATGTCTACAATTTGGGGAATCTCTTGTCAGATTTTTCTCCTCCAAAGAGCAACTTGATAAATTCAACCCCAATTCACATAAAATTTTGGCATTCTAATTGTACCTCTCTAAACTGCTATAAATATTTATTTTCCCCGATTCCTACTGGAGAGTTGATAAAGAGGAATTTAATTTAAGTTTTAATGAACTGTTATCAATGTTTAAGTGTGTTCTGGACTATAGGTTTTTCTATTTTCTGCTGAGCAGCTGGAGCAAACAAATACCAGGCAAGAGCATCATCTTTTTAGATGATAAACCACTGAATGATTATCTTATTCAATGCTAAATGTTTTCAGACATGGGATGTTCATAAAATAGAAAATACTAGTAGAGTCATTCTACGTTTAAATGAAGTATTTTACATGGATTCCAAAAATCTTGGGAGATTTAATAAGTACCTAAAAAAAATAAACTCATAGAGCTTAGCATTTCAGCAGAAGTCTTTTCAGTATCCTAAGAAAAAAACTAGAAAGTGGAAAAAAGTTCTTAGTTTAGCTGAATCTACTTCTCATTTTCAAATTTTGCATTTTAATTTCAGCTCAAAGAGGGATATCCTCAGGTAGATGTATTTAGTTTTCAGATTATTATTTCAAAAGGCAAATAGTTAGATTTTGTCACATTCATTGTAACAGCAACTCTTCCCTTTTCTAGTCAGGATGAAATGCTTTCCTATCCAGGCCTATAGATTGCTCCTCCAAAAAACAGGAGAGCTCCAGCTGTACATTTCCTCCCTTCCAACAAGGTATGTCACAGATAAGAAGAAAGAGTTTGTCAAAGAGACACTTATTTCCTTTGATTCAATATAAAAGCTTTCTGGGGTTTCATCAACAAGGTATGTCACAGATAAGAAGAAATAGTTTGTCAAAGAGACACTTATTCCCTTTGATTCAATATAAAATCTTTCTGGGGTTTCATGACCCCAACACTGGGACACTGTAAATTTCACTGCACAGATTGTCCTGTAACCAAGCAGCAGTTACCAAAAATCACTTTGTTAACTTCATAAAGATTTGAATAATTACTTTGCTTATCACTTTAGATGAGTTAAAATGTGCTTAATTACACACATGTCATCCCTGAAAGGCTCAGATTTGTTCCTGAACAAACCACACAAACGTTTCCCTCAAAGATAATTAAATATGATATTTAAAACTAATTATTTCATGTTACCTTTAATTCCAGCAAGCTGCTAATCTCTCTTGCCAGGCTGAAGGATTTGTATCATTGCCCATTCCAATGGGGAATTTCCTGGTATTTGAATACGATTTTCATGCAGCAAACTGCTTCCCATTTGCCTGCACAGTTGCTCCCTGCTAGGGCAGAACCACTGGGCTGTGTGTTAACTGAACCTTTTCTGGCAGAGATTTCCCTTTGTTGGTGGTGCTCATTACCTGTCCTCTTTACAAGTAAAGGCTTGCTTCTGCTGGCAATGAGTGAACTCCAACCAGCCATCTAATACCTCATGGTAACAACTAAATTGAATGCAAGATTCTCTGGACAGGCTGTTTCACCCACCCTGAGGAGTTGGCAGTTCTGGGACTAGAGAAACATGAAAACTTGGATGGGTGAACACTTCTTGAATCCCTCTGTCATAAAAAAATAATACTTTTAGCTAAGATTTAACTTATCTTTGGCTGCTCTAAGGTGTGGACACATTGAAAGAGTGATGAATTCCATGCAATACCAGTTTACTTCTGGATTTCCAAAGATTAATGCATTGGGTAAGAAGCAAGTTTATGTGTATCAGTGTTTGCGGATGAAGCCACCAAAGTAAAAGGTTTAAGTTTCTAATGTGATCTCAATATTCACCATGTGAGCATGGACATGGTCCTCAGCAATGGGATTTTCCCTTTCAGTACACAAAGGGAATCTTCCTTTTCCCTCCAGTGACCTGCACAGATCCCTTTGAGGATCTGTAGGTAATGAAGCCGAAAGATCAGCTGGTTTACATTGTACGTTGGTTCTGTTGCAATTCTGTTATATAGGAATCTAAGAGAGAAAATGCCACATCGACAGTCATCCCCTTCAGGTGGCACTGTGAAAAATGTCCTGAAGTCCATTTTTAGGCTGAAATGTCCATTTTCAGGCTGAGGCTCAGAAATCTGGCTGGTCATTCCAGAAAAGCGTGATTGCCTTGTAAGAGTAAGATATGTTCAAAAGCACAGAATAAGCACCATTAGAACAAACATATCAGGGGTCCCTGGAGGCCAACAGATTGAGACACAAACATTTGAGACCCTTCAGAGGGAGAAGGAATTAGGGATTTGTGTGGAAGAGGCTGGGAGGATACGTTTGACACGTACTCTGGAGGAGTCAGTTTATTTGGCCAAATTTTTCCATTCTGCCTGTATTTTAAACACAGTTTCTGTATTGCCTTTGTGTCTGTCTGTTTGGATGGTTGAGGTTTTAAATGGCGATTACCTGGGAAGTATCTGTGTTACCCTTTATATGCTCCCCATCTGCTTCTTGGCTGCAATTGGCCTACATTTCTTCTCTTACGCTTTAGTAAACATCAAATACTTTTCCAGAAGGCTGAGTTCATCCACATTTGATTTGCTATTTGATACCTAATAGGAGAATGAGGGGGAACAGACCACTGACTGCAGCTTACGTACTTCTCTCTGTCAGCAGGAGCTGACAGACAACTTAATGAATGTATTCAGACTTTCAAAGTCAATTCAGAGTTTGACACGCAACTGAAAAATGAAACAGTGCCTACAAATCAGTTTGGGTGCATGAATAGAATACAGAAAAGATGGGAACTGACAGAAGAACTCAGTGTTCCTCCAGTGGTTTTCCATCATGATCTAAAGCCAAAGACAACACAGTTGGACACGAATGGAAAGATTACTAACATGGACCCAGCACCATAATTCACGTGGTAGTTTTATAACAGACATGAGCTGTTCCCTAACTCTTCTGCAGCTCAGCATCACACAAGAGAAGGTGATGATCTGCCTCCCCAGGCTGAGCTGTTCTCTCTCACTGCACTTTTCATCCAAGCCCTGGTCTGGGACTTGCAACAGCTCTTCCTTCCACCTGTGACTGCAGCTGATATTTCCTCAGCTTCTTTACCTTCGGCTCCCTCCTTACCCTCTGGGTTGCTTGTCTGCACAT